TGGATGAAGTTGATACGATTAGTAAAGTTTATTTATTAACTAATTTCGAGAGGATCACGTGCTGACCCCAAGTCAAGCTAATGTACGAACCACCAATCAGACGATTCCTAACCCAGTATAAATAACCAGGCATCTTACCTCTAGTCAACTTCGTCTAGAAGAATCCCCCCCTTCCACCCCCTCTCCTCCTCTTTTTCCTCTATAGGGCAGCACGGCAGCCCAGTAGCTAGCACTGCGGCCTCACAGCAAGAATGCCTCTGGTTCGGGTCTCCACCCGGCCAGTTGGCATTTCTGTGTGGAGTTCATGTTCTCCCCGTGCTCGCGTGGGTTTTCCCCGGGTCCTCCGGTTTCCTCCCACAGTCCAAAACATGAGACATACATTTTTGAGATCTACCTGAGCTCAAACTCCCCTCTCGCCTTGCAAATGGGTGGGAGCCCCAGACTCGAGGATCTCATGAGCTCAGGGCTCTCTTCAGACTAGCTTATTACCCATCATCAGCTAAGTGTGAACTCTTGAAAATACCTTGGTGTGTGGCTTTATTCTAAACTTTCCTTTAAATCACATATTAATTATATTGTAAGTAAAGATAACTTTGGAATTAGTACCTTATATCGGTCTAGGCATTGTTTTTCATTTAGTGTTCGCAAAAAACTAGCTCTCCAACTTATTTTTGCCAATTTTTGATTATTGCGATGTTGTTTATCAGGGTGCATTGAAATTAGGTCTTGCTCCTCTTAATACGGCATATAATAGACTTTGCAGATTTGGGTTGTTCTTTTTACACATCATTGTATACTGTATGATCTGCTGCAATGGCCATTTTTGCACGCGAGACGACATATTCACTGGCTTCAATTTTTATTTAAATGAATTCATTTTAAATATCCTAATTATTTACAACAATATTTTGTACTTTTTTTTCCCTTAAATGATCAAGTTAGACATTCTGTTTTTTGTTCCTCGTTGTAAAAAATCTATTGGTAAAAGCTTTTATGTTTAAGGGTCCAACAGATTAGAAAAATGTACCTGCTAACATTTGATCCATTACATCACTTAAGGACTTTAAGCAAACTTTGTTATCCTATTTTACATTATATTTGTTTTTCCTGACAATGTTATTATTTATGTGGTGATTTGATTCACTGATCTGTATATAGTTTTTGTACTATATATATATATATATATATATATATATATATATATATATATATATATATATATATATATATATATATACATGTGTTTTTTTTTTTTTTTGTATGTTGTGTAAGTTATGTTTAGTTTTGTCTTCTGGTGTTGTTATTATATGATTGATATTAATTGAGGGACCCCTTGAAAATTAGATGGTACATCTCAAGGGCTTTATCTTAATGAATAAATACAATTGTATTGGGTTGTTTTTCTCATTGGTGGAGAAAACGGTTGTGTTGATTTCTGTTCCACTGTGTGTTTCCTGTTTGACGTGCAATTCAGTGACATGATAATCTAAAGAAAATCACCCGCTGCTCATCCTTATCAACATCAGGCCACAACATAATTTATTACATTCAAAAAGAAAGAGCTGTTTAAAGCTGCAGACTCTTTAGCACAGTATCTGTCCATGGTTGAACTCTTTTTTTTTTTTTTACATTCAGCATGTCAGCACAAAAACAGTGTCTTATTCAGTGCCCACGTCATTCAACTTAACCAGCACTGCACTTTTAATACAATATTATTATCATTGTCTTTCTGTTCTGAACACACCTCCTCAAATAAAGCTCAACATTGAGTGCATCATTTTAACAAATCATACTGTTATCTGCTTGGTGCAGTTACATCGAAAAAACAATATTTGTGTATTTCCTAGTGATCCTGGCAGCAGTAATTCATCAAATGATGGAGAACTGCATTATAACCGGGCATGTTTCCAGATACACTAGTGCTCCCTCTGCATTATAAGGAGCTGATTCAGGTGCATAAACTACCCGTAATGCCAGATTGTAGTCTGCTGTGTCCTCCTCAGCGTGGATCAGAATGCATAATAACATGTTCCGCGCTATTTTTGGCTGGTTTCTCATTTGCATAATTCTTTTAGTCAGTTTGGTGCTAATTAAAACAAGCAAAACATCTTCAAATGAATGCTGGCCCTGCGTTCCATTTCGAAGGGCTCATCCTTAAACCCTAATCCCCCTGAAAAGGGTTTACCCTCCAGATTGAGAGCTTTGAAGAGATTAAGGGTGTTGAGGACCAAAGATGTTCCCTGGAACTGACTTGGGATGTGTTCCAGGCTTCATTTTTGTTCCCTTTACCCATTAACATCTGATGTACGTCATTATTCATGAATAAGTCACACCAGTGTCAACTAGTGGCGGAGCATCTGAAATTGGGTTAAATGAAACACCATAAGCCCTTGAGCACTTGTAAACGTCTATTTATACGCCTTTATACGCAACCCAGCAGGCACAGGACATCAACATGACGTCAGCTTGATGTTGTACCCCAGCATCGGGGGATGTTGCAGTTTGTTTGGAAATGAAAATCAGGTTGATGTCAGAACTCAACATCGCCTCCAACCTAAAATCAACCAACTATCAACGTCTAATGATGTTACAGCGTGACGTTGTGTGGACGTTACCACTATGTCTATCAGACATTGGATTTTGCCATACCTGATGAATAAATGTCAGTATTTGACATCAATATAACATTGGTTTAAGATGTTAGCCCAACGTTGGATTTTGGTCACTTTCCAACACAAACTAAAATCAACCAAAAATCAACGTCTAATGATGTTACAGCTTGATGTTGTGTGGACATTACCACTATGACGTCAATCAGACATTGGATTTTGGTTGCCATACCTGACAAATAAATGTCAGCATTTGATGTCAATATGATGTTGGTTTAAGATGTTGACCTAACGTTGGATTTTGATCATATTCCAAAACAACGTAAAATCAACCAAATATCAACGCCTAATAATGTTACAGCTAAAGTTGTGTGGACGTTACCACCTAACGTCTATTAGATGTGTGATTTTGGTTGCCATACTTTATAAATAAATGTCAGTATTTGACGTCAATTTGAAGCTGGTTTAAGATGTTGGCCCAACGTTGGATTTTGGTCTCTTTCCAACACAACATAAAATCAACCTAATATCAACGTCCAATGATGTTACAGCTTGATGTTGTGTGGACATTACCAATATGACGTCTATCAGACATTAGATTTTAGTTGCCATACCTGACGAATAAATGTCAGTATTTGACGTCAATTTGACTTTGGTGTAAGATGTTGGCCCAACGTTGGATTTTGGTCTCTTTCCAACACAACCTAAAATCAACCAAATGTCAACGTCTAATGATATTACAGCTTGACATTTTGTGGACGTTATCAGTATGACATCTATCAGACGTTGGATTTTGGTTTCCACACACTACAAATAAATCTTAGTATTTGACGTCAAAATGATGTTGGTTTAAGATGTTGGCCCAACATTGGATTTTGGTAATATTCCAGCACAACATAAAATCAACCTAATATCAACGTCTAATGATGTTACAGCTTGACGTTGTGTGAACTTTACCAGTATGACGTCTATAAGATGTTGGATTTTGGTTGCCATACTTTATAAATAAATGTCAGTATTTGATGTCAATTTGACGCTGGTTTAAGATGTTAGCCCAACGTTGGATTTTGGTCACTTTCCAACACAACCTAAAATCAACCAAAAATCAACGTCTAATGATGTTACAGCTTGATGTTGTGTGGACATTACCACTATGACGTCAATCAGACATTAGATTTTGGTTGCCATACCTGACAAATAAATGTCAGCATTTGATGTCAATATGATGTTGGTTTAAGATGTTGACCTAACGTTGGATTTTGATCATATTCCAGCACAACGTAAAATCAACCAAATATCAACGCCTAATGATGTTACAGCTAAAGTTGTGTGGACGTTACCACCTAACGTCTATTAGATGTGTGATTTTGGTTGCCATACTTTATAAATAAATGTCAGTATTTGACGTCAATTTGACGCTGGTTTAAGATGTTGGCCCAACGTTGGATTTTGGTCTCTTTCCAACACAACATAAAATCAACCTAATATCAACGTCCAATGATGTTACAGCTTGATGTTGTGTGGACATTACCAATATGACGTCTATCAGACATTAGATTTTGGTTGCCATACCTGACGAATAAATGTCAGTATTTGACGTCAATTTGACTTTGGTGTAAGATGTTGGCCCAACGTTGGATTTTGGTCTCTTTCCAACACAACCTAAAATCAACCAAATGTCAACGTCTAATGATATTACAGCTTGACATTTTGTGGACGTTATCAGTATGACATCTATCAGACGTTGGATTTTGGTTTCCACACACTACAAATAAATCTTAGTATTTGACGTCAAAATGATGTTGGTTTAAGATGTTGGCCCAACATTGGATTTTGGTAATATTCCAGCACAACATAAAATCAACCTAATATCAACGTCTAATGATGTTACAGCTTGACGTTGTGTGAACTTTACCAGTATGACGTCTATAAGATGTTGGATTTTGGTTGCCATACTTTATAAATAAATGTCAGTATTTGATGTCAATTTGACGCTGGTTTAAGATGTTAGCCCAACGTTGGATTTTGGCCACTTTCCAACACAACCTAAAATAAACCTAATATCAACGTCTAATGATGTTACAGCTTGACATTTTTTGAACGTCATGATGTCTATCAGAAGTTGAATTTTGGTTGCAATATCTTATAAACAAATGTCAGCATTTGACATCAATATAACATTGGTTTAAGATGTTAGCCCAACATTGGATTTTGGTCACTTTCCAACACAATCTAAAATCAACCAAAAATCAATGTCTAATGATGTTACGGCTGAAGTTGTGTGGACATTACCACTATGACGTCTATTAGATGTTGGATTTTGGTTGCCATACCTTATAAACAATTGTCAGTATTTGACGTCAATTTGACACTGGTTTAAGATGTTGGCCCAACGTTGGATTTTGGTCACTTTCCAACACAACCTAAAATCAACCTAATATCAACATCCAATAATGTTACAGCTTCAACCAAATAGCAACGTCGTTATTGGATGTCAAAATAACATTGTCCTTAGACCCTGGCTAGAAATTGATTTTTGGTCACTTGATGTCATGACCTATATCTAACCTAATTTAACGTCTTATGATGTTGTATGCCTGCTGGAAAGTGACACAATCCTATTGCATTGTAGGACATAAAGGTGCCATAGTGTACATATAAAGCAGACTCGCTCCCTTGGTCAAAATCGAGAGTTTGAGGGTCTGTCCATGCAGACTTCCCTCATCCACTTGACGAAGTGGAACGCACTTTAAAGTGCTGCCAGAAATTCCCAGAGGGAAGTTTACAAGTGTTTGTCTGATAGTGGAGTGGAACGCATCCGTGGCCAAGTCAATCATCGCCCACGCATAGAATTATGGGAATAAAGTGTTCATTAGTTGAGCCTTCATTCCTTATCCTCTTTTTATTTTAGGAGGATTCTTCAATATCATTGTTCTTACTCCTAAGTGCCCTTCGTAGGTGGATTTTTTCATTTGGAGCCCAGCCTGCCAGCGAAGTGCTATTGAACTTGTGTTTTCTCTGTGATGGGTCCAGGGCCATGCTGGTTCGGGATGGCTGATGGTGTTTTACAGAGCACAAAGCGCTGGATGATATGAATCAGTGTATCGCGGAAGCGCTGGATGCGAAACGCGTACACCAGGGGATTGAGTGCAGAGTTAATGTGCGACATGAAGATGCCCACATAAAAAGCACTCTTGGGCACGTTGCATGTGGGGCAGAAAAACACAATGCTGTTCATAATGTGAAGTGGCAGCCAGCAGACCGCGAAAAGAAACAGAACGAGTGCTAGAGACTTCGCCAGTTTCAGCTCTTTTCTGTAATATTTGCTGGAGTCGCAAGTGGCCTCGGCTCGGCGATTGAGCTGCCGGCAGATCACCCGGAAGATCTCGGCGTACAGACCGATCATGATGGTCAGCGGCACCACCACCCAGACGAAGAAGTTGAAGTAGACCATGTAATCCATGCGCATGACGTTGGTGAACTGGCACTGGATTGGCGTCGTGCTGACATTTCCGGGTGGGCTGCGGTGCCAACCGGCCATAGGCACTAAGCCAGTCAGAAAAGAGATGAGCCAACACAAACCCACAGCTGCCCACGCCCGTCTTTGAGTTACGATGATGTTGTACCTGCCAAAACATTACAAAGACAATGACATGTATTACTTTTTAAAAAGAAACTTAACATTTGGGTCCAATAAATAGGGTTGCCAACCATGCCTTATTGGCTGGGACGCCCTGTGGGAAAATACATTTGATTTTACTTGTACGTTTAAAAAAAATATTGTGCTGCTTGTTCAAACTACTGATTTAAAATGAGCTGAAGCAACAGAATTCTTGAGATTTATTTAGGGTCAGTTTAATTGTTTTAAATTCAATCCACTTAAATTTTGTAAAAATGATTAAGGGAACCTACTGTAATCAATTTTGGACAAAAAGGAATTGTGTGGAACCCGTCTTTTTCATAGTATATATTTATAAAAATAAAAAAAAGACAAATAACATTTGGGCCAAATAAATGGAGTTGCCAACCATCCCTTATTTCCTGGGACATCCTGTATGTTGGATAGTATTTAAAATATTGTAAATAGGGCAGGTAGGTGGCTCAGTGGTTAGCACTGTCACTCACCTTATAGCAAGAAGAGTCCCGGCTGGACCAGTTGACATTTATGTGTGGAGTTTGCATGTTTTCCCCCGTGTTGGCATGAAGGCAGTAGTTTTTAAATTCATGTAGGCTAGAAATTAATATGTTTTGTAATATTTTAATCCTTTATATTTATATCCTATATATATTCTTATTATATCCCATATATATCCTTAATGTTTTAATACTTTTTCATATGTAAAGATATTTGCGTATTGCTCTACATCTTGTGTGTATTAAGCAGTGTATGAATTTAAAAACTACTGCCTTCATGCGTCATTATTTACTTCACTAAATCAGTTTAATGGGGAAGGGTTTGATGGAATTGGCCTGTTAAAAGAAGGATTGCGAAATAAACGTTATGCTCTCTTGTAAAAGTATTTTGTAGTATTTTTAAAATACAGTATTTTGTTTGTGATACATTTATGGCTGCTGTATTCTGTAGTTTGCATTGATACATGTCAAATTCAAGTATCTAGGCGAAGCAGTGGCGCAGTAGGTAGTGCTGTCGCCTCACAGCAAGAAGGTCGTTGGGTCGCTGGTTCGATCCTCGGCTCAGTTGGCGTTTCTGTGTTGAGTTTGCATGTTCTCCCTGCATTCGCGTGGGTTTCCTCCAGGTGCTCCGGTTTCCCCCACAGTCCAAAGACAAGTGTGTCTGTGGATGTGTGTGTGTGGATGTTTCCCAGAGATGGGTTGCGGCTGGAAGGGCATACACTGCGTAAAAACTTGCTGGATAAGTTGGCGGTTCATTCCGCTGTGGCGACCCCGGATTAATAAAGGGACTAAGCTGACAAGAAAATTTATGAAATTTAAGTATTTGGTATTTTATTTTAAAATACTTTTCAATGTATTTTTGCCCATCCCTGCATAGAGCTGATGTCAGAAGCTTTATATTCACTATTGTGCAATATAATTTAAATCACCACACAACCAAGCTAATTTATGCAGCACATTATTTGGTGTAGTGGATGTCTTGCAGATAATTCAGGCTTTAATAAAGCAGATAAACTTTATACCCATATCTTATTTATTGTTATATTATTAATTTTTATTTTTATTTTATCATTTTATTTTTTTTATATTTTATTTTATTTTAATATTATTATATTCAATGGATCAGGATCAGCTAATTTGCTTGTTTAAAAAGATCAGCAATCAGAAATGGAAAAAAAACCAAAAAAAAAAAAAAAACAAGGTTGGGCCATTATTAATAACTTTGCTAGGACTTTTTAGCTTTGTCCATTATTTCATAGTGACAAGTTGGCAACCCTGTATAACATGAAATGTCATAAACTGTGACAAAATACATCAAAAGTAGCACCAAACACCAAATCAAAACACAATCGACGAATATTAAACCACAATAAAATCAGCTTGCATATGAAATCTACATGAAATCTGAATGAAACGTGCAGTTATATTTACTACACATATTTAATGAGTGTTTTCAGCTTCTGCCATTGACATTCTACACCCCTATTTTTCAGTTTATTTTTCATAATCAGTTTAATAAACATGTTATCTTCATTTTTAAAATCATCAAAAGAGGCAGTGTCAGTTAGGTATAATGCATATTTGCAGTCTGAGGAAACGTAAGTATTTTACGTTTTGTCAGTTTAGTGGCAAATTCGTACAAATTCGGAGTTCAGTCGTACGAAAATGTACGATTTTAAAAAGGAGGTGTGGCACCCAACCACACCCCTAACCCCAACCGTCATTCGGTGATGAGCAAATCGTACTAAATTGTACGAATTAGATTGCACAAATTCAGACGAATTAGCCACTAAATCAAAAAGTTACGAATTGCCGTGAGATTGAGTTGGTACTTGAGATTAGTAATGCCGTTTAAAATGATTATTTTCAGTTGTACAATATAGCAACTAGGCTCTTATGCTGGCTTTTGGAGCTTTTCCTGGTGTTTTATCTTTATCCAGACAACTCCAAAATTACGTCTAAATTAATTAAAAATGATGATTACTATTATTATTATTATTATTGTTAGTAGTAGTAATAGTAGTAGTAGTAGTAGATTGCACTATTATGTTTTTCTCTTCTTTTTTACTCTTTTATATCACATTTTACCTGTTTTTTTTTACTCATTTTTATTATTTGTTTTTATTTATATTTTACTTGTTTCTTTTATTCTTGTTTATGTAAAGCACTTTGAATTGCCACTGTGTATGAAATGTGCTATATAAATAAACTTGCCTTGCCTTGCCTTGCCTTGCATTGCCTAGTAGTAACAGTACTTTGTGTATTGAACAAGTTGCAGTTGCCTTAAGTAATGCAAGATCAATTTCTAAAGTAGTATACCAGTACTCTTAGTAAACATTTTAAAAGGTATATAGTTTATATATTTTAATGTATTCGGTTTTCTGTTCTCCAGAAATGTGTTACATAAGCCGTCGAAGTCACATCGCATCAAACATCAAGCAAATGAGGGCGGTTAGGTCCACTGCCAGAATACTATCAGACCGGTGAACATCATTTCCTTTGACAGACAGCAGGAGTTTAATTTAGTTAAAAGCCTTGCATTACACTAGCCCATTGATTTGCATTAAAAAACCAACAGATATATTGCTGTCCTGCAGTCTGGCCAAGAAACATGAAAAAACACAACTGATGCATTAGAGATAAAAGTTGTAGAGTTTCATCTTTGCAAAATGCATATATAAAAATATACTCCACTGCGTCTCTGATTTATGATTAGATGAAACATATTGAAAGCTATTTGGCTTGGTGAGCAATTATTTAATTTCTATACTGGTAAAATATAATACTTATTGAACTCAATACTGTAGCATAAAAAATAAGATACTCAATCCTAAAGATTTTGCTTGATTTTAAGTTATAGGCCACTCTCTGTATAATATTTTACTTACTTTTTGGTGGACTTGCAATCTATCTGAAGTCATTGCACCTGCCTGTCCATCCATCCATCTATCCATCCATCCATCTGAGGTCACTGTATCTTTCCATCCATCCATCTATTCATCTATCTATCATCCAACCATTCATCCATTCATCCATCTGAGGTCACTGCATCTGTCTATCTTTCCATCTGTCCGTCCGTCTGTCTATCTGAAGTCACTCCATCCATCCATCCATCCATCCATCCATCCATCCATCCATCCATCCATCCATCCATCCATCCATCCATCCATCCATCCATCCATCTATACATCTGTTTATCTATCTATCTATCTATCTATCTATCTATCTATCTATCTATCTATCTATCTATCTATCTATCTATCTATCTATCTATCTATCTATCTATCTATCTATCTATCTATCCATCCATCCATCCATCCATCCATCCATCCATCCATACATCTGTTTATCTATCTATCTATCTATCTATCTATCTATCTATCTATCTATCTATCTATCTATCTATCTATCTATCTATCTATCTATCTATCTATCTATCTATCTATCTATCTATCTATCCATCCATCCATCCATCCATCCATCCATCCATCCATCCATCCATCCATCCATCCATCCATCCATCCATCCATCCATCCATCCATCCATCCATCCATCCATCCATCCATCCATTCCACCCAACCACCCATCCACCCACCCATCCATCCATCCATCCATTTGAGGTCACTGTATCCATCCATCCATCCATCCATCCATCCATTCATCTATCTATCATCTAACCATTCATCCATCCATCCTTCTGCGATCACTGCATCTGTCTATCCATCCATCCAACTGTCCTTCCTTCTGTCTGTCTTTCTGAGATCCATCCATCTATCCATCCATCCATCCATCCATCCATCTATCCATCCATCCATCCATCCATCCATCCATCCATCTTTCTGGATTTCCATGTTCAATTGTTTTGTATATCCAGTGTAAAAAGCTCTGTGCAGCATACATCTGTAAGAAAATGTTGCAATTAATGTAATAAAAATATAAATAACAAATAAATAAATAAATCATTGGATGGATGGATCTACCTCAGATAGATAGACTGCAAGTCCACCAAAATCCTATTTCATCCTAGGCATGAAAATCCTACTTCTTTTTATTTTCTCAGTGAAATCTGGACATTTTCACATTTCCGGGTTTCTCAGTAGCAAAAGTCGTCAAAGTTGATTAGACTTAGAAAGCAGTCAACGGGAAATGATAAAAAAAACTCAGAAAAGTCATTATTATTAGTCAAGACATTCAGAAAAATGTGTGAGACTGCAAACAGCAGCCAGAAGAGAGAACAATGTCAAATTTACTGTCCCGCCTCTATACTCTCTGCATTAAAAACAAGCGGTAATTAGAATTTTGCAATTTGATTCAAAGATAATATAATACAGACATAAATACATATTCATACGGTCAAAGAAAAATCTATTCTCTGATGTTGGTTAACTTTGCCATGGTAAACAAACAGAATCTGTGATATGGTGTGTTTTTCACACTCACCTTGTTGGGATCTTGACGCGCAGGAAGCGATCGATGGCGATGGCCAGCAGGGACAGGATGGAGCTCTGTGTGATCATGACGAGCAGGCAAGAAATGAAGAGGCAGGTGTAAAACTGTGTGTTGAGACCCAAACTAAGGACCACCGCCAGTGGGATGACCAGAACACCCACTGCAATATCAGCCAGCGCCAGAGACACAATAAAGCAGAAGGTCGGGTCCCGCAGACCCTGGTTCAAGCACACCACCAGGACCACCAGCACATTCCCAATCACTGACGCCAAAGCAATGGTGCTTTCAATGGAAATGTACATCAAATCCACCTTCTCCCAACTCTCCGTAACTGTGAGCGTTGACATCTTGGTCATCTGTAGCAACACTTCTTCTTCCATTGGATCTCCTAGAATCTCATTGCATCCTATATACTGGTATGTGCTCTCAGTTAATACTATACTGTAATAAGTGTCACTGGAAGTACATGGAAAGCACTTTGCATTTCTTCACAAGCGGTTTCATGTCTTCTGTGGTTATTTTGAGATGGTGTGTGTCCTCTTTTCTGCATCTTCAGGAACTCCTGCTTCTCCTTCTCCTGTTGCGGAGACTCTGCTGGCTGGAAGGGAGGGGTGTTTTATTCTCATTCGCTGCAGTACTATTTCCTCGCTTGCTCACAGTTTCTCTCTCACTTTCTCGCTCTTTTTTTTCCTCACACCGTTTCCAAACCTCAAACTCTATTTTGCATTGGGAGCTTTGACTTTTGAAATTCACAGTTGAAGGTTTGAGTTCAAATTAAAATGTAGGTAATTATTAAATGTAAATAATTAAAATTATGCTTTAAGTTAAATTTTGATAATGAAACACGCACAACACACAGTATGTTTTTTATTTTTTATTTTATTTTAGTCAGTTGGGTTATTTTATTAAAGGTCAGTTTATTTCCATAAAGAAATTGTATTTGACTAATATGTGAATTATATGAATTATGTTGATATTTATAGACACTACCAATAAATTATTTGTGGTTGAATGTTTTTTTAAAGCTTTCAGAAAAAGGCTCATTGATTTGATCATAAATACAGTAAAATAGTAAAATTGTGAGTAAATAACTAACTGTAGTCTATTTTTAACAGGAGGAATGAATTATATTTTAAATAAATAAAATATTGCTGCTCAAGACACATATATTATATTATATTATATTATATTATATTATATTATATTATATTATATTATATTATATTATATTATATTATATTAAAATATTTTAATTGTATTATATTATTTTTATTATATAATTTTTTGTTATTTTAAATTATATTATATTATATTAATTAGTTTTTATTATATTATTTTTATTATATTATATTATATTATATTATATTATATTATATTATATTATATTAGTTTTTTATTATATTATTTTTATTATATTATATTATATTATATTTTTACTATATTACATTATTTAGTTTTTTATTATATTATATTATATTATTTTAAAATAATTTTATTGTATTATAATATCATTATTATATTATATTTTTTGCTATTTTAAATTATATTATATTAAATTATATTATATTATATTAAATTTTATTATATTATATTATATTATATTAGTTTTTTATTATATTATTATATTATATTATATTATATTTTTACTATATTACATTATTTAGTTTTTTATTTTATTATATTATATTATATTATATTATATTATATTATTTAGTTTTTTATTATAATATTTTTTATTATATTATATTATAATCTATATATTTTTTTAGTAAAAATAGTTTACACAATAGATTACAATTTCCAGGACATCATTTGATTTATAGTTTTGTATATATATATATATATATATATATATATATATATATATGACAGTCAACACACTTACACAATAAAATTATTAATTTAATCATTTTAAAACTATTAAATACACCTAAAATATTATCTTTCTTGCCTATTTTGTTGAATTTCTTCACATTTCAGTTCACTAAATTCCTTTTCCTGTCATTCCCGTCCAAATTCCTTTTCAACATCCTGTGGGTCGTGGATAACTCGATTAAAATTCACACTCTTGAACCGAATGGGAACCAAAATTGTATTTAACCCTGAATCTGGCACATGCATGTCCCAGAAACCTCTGCTTCCTGCCTCTGTCGCTCTGTGTCTCTATCACAGACATAATTTGATATTCAAATGTTTCTACCCAGGAAATCGGACATCATCTTCATCAAATTAATTTTTCAGTAATGCTCATTGTAGTGTGGTAATGGATTCGTCTCAGTATTGAGGCAAGCACTTGCCTTCCATGATCATTTCATCTTGTTCACTGGGCTCCTCTGCATTATTGTCATGTCTATTTTAGTCCTCTCATGCGGAGCTGAGATTCTCTTTTTGAGTCAGAACACAGTGGATCTTATTGCGCTTTTGTAGCTCAGGGGAATTTTCATTATGCTTTATTGTAATATCAACTTTATCTTAGATGTTTTTTTATAGTGCTCTTTGGGGAGGTCAAAAGTAATAGATAATCTGATTAATGGATTTGATGATGGAGATCATGGCAAGTTGACATTACTGAGATTTATTTTACTAGTGATTTTAATGAGAAAACTGTCTAGGAACTGGAGTCTCCAATTCTTTCATTTCAACTTGCTGGCTGATTTTAATAATAGGATAATTTGCAGGTATGGTTAGATTAAAACAAATAAAATATTGTGTTTTATAATAGACTTTTCATTTCAATGTTTATTAGTTTATTTGCATTTAATATATTTGTCTTTTAATTAACTCAAGGAAGTGTTAATGTAAAATGTTTCTGAATTTGTGGGTGTTTACAAGCTAACAGGTTACATTACATTCTGTAGCGTTTCTTAAAAGTTGTGTAAATGTTAGTTTGTAATATTACTAAAATTATGTTTTTGGAAAATGATCTTCAAACTTTATTATAATGTGAATGTGATGTTCTAATAACATTTAGAATAATGTTTTGAGAACATTAATATAACATGAGACAGAAATGTTATGGAAACATCTTTAATAATGTTATCACAACCAAGCAATAATGTTAATACAACATCTAAAACAATGAACGTTTGGAATGTTTTGAGAACCTTCCACAAAAACCTTTCAGACTCTATTTTAATGATCTAGGCGCAAAGTCTCAAGCGCAGTGCACAAAAGCATTAAGGGCCTGTCCGAATTCACTTTTTCTATTTTAAGGATGGAAAAATACTCTCTGCACCGCAGCGCGTGGTCTAACAGGGTTGTGCTTATTCTCTTAATGAGTTATCGGTGTGTTTGAGAATAAACCAGTTTACTTTCCCTTTCTCTTTCACTCTTTCGTGGATAAGGATACATACATATATAATAAATTTTTTTGCTTGTTAAGTGCAAAGATTTTTTTCTAAACTATTTCTAAATTCTAATTTCTAATGTTCAGTGAATAAATGAACAATAATAACTGTGGTGAGTTATATCCAAACACACATGCTATGCCCCATATGGTCCAAAACCTGAGGTGGACAAATCTGAGCTTGTTTTTAATAAAACAAATATAAATATGCATATAATAAATAATACTGCTAATAATAATAACATTATACAAAAGCAAATTGTCATGAATGAACTAAAAAAAGCCACCCGAGAAGAAGAAGGCATGAAGGCAGTGGTTTTTATATTTATGTAGAAAATAATAATTTTTGCAATTTTTAATCCTTTAATTCTTTTTTATTTATGAAGATATTTGCGTTTTACTCTACATCCTGTGTGTTTTAAACAATGTGTAAACGAAGCACACAACTAATGCACTCTGCGCTGGACTTTAGACCTGCTTTCAGCTGGTCAATTGCGCAATCTATTTTAGTTCCTCAAAATAGCAACGCACCAACAATGCACCTTAACACACCTCTTATCTAGACCTGAACACCCATGTGTCCACAAAAGTTTGAGCAAATGGATTTGCTATTTAAACAACGTGGTGAAAAACCAAAAAATTAAGGTTGCATCCAGGCCCGGATTGGCTAATCGGGAGGACCGGGAGAATTCCCGGTGGGCCGGTCCATTTTTGGCCGCGAGGGCCGGTGTCCCTAGCTGCAGAATCTGTTGCTCTCAGCAGCCACACTTTTTAAATTAATTAATTTATTTACTTGACCACAGTCTTCTTATTCATTATTTTACCTCAGCTTTGCTCTTGCAGATGCAGCCTGCAGGTTAATGATGATATAACTCAGATGAGTCACTTTTTACTGTACAGTCGTTGGGGTCCAGTGGTTAGCACGTTAGGTTATGACACCGCCAACCCGGGTTTGATCCTTGTCTGAGTAACTTATTTTTTTCCATTTTTATTGTTAAGACATATAATGCTGTTAAGGTGGTTGAACATTTGAAGTTCTAAAGCAGCTGTTTTCTCAAAAAAAGACGTGATAATGTGATTAGAAACTGAATTGAAAAAGACCTTATTTTAATATAGTCAGTAGGGAACTGAGGTGGGCCGGTCTGAGGCTTGAAACTCCAGGGCTGAAAAGGAGTCCCACTCCGGCCCTGGTTGCACCTTATTGCGCCGGGTGTATGATAAGGCCTTTTATGACTTACTGAGAATGTTAGAGAAACATTTTGTGAACATTAATATAATGTGAAGAGAATTTTCTATTAACGTTTTCAAATAAAATTCAGAGAACATTGCTATAATGTATGTATGTAATGATAACTTTCTTACAACGTTTATAATTTGTATTAAAAAAATTGACATTTTGACATTTTAATTTAATAACTTAATTGGAAGGTAAAAAAGAAGATTAATGGGAAACACCCTGTACACACTCATTCACACTCATACACTACGGACAATTTAGCCTACCCAATTCACCTATAGAGCATGTCTTTGGACTGTGGGGGAAACCGGAACACCTGGAGGAAACCTATGCCAACACGAAGAGAACATGCAAACTCAAAATGTACAAAATGAGAAAATGCCAACCTTCTTGCTGTAAGGCGACAGTGCTATCCACTGCGCCACCCACAAGCATTATAACCTAGAATTGTTAATGGTAGGTAAGGATAATGTTTTTACATTGTTAATACATTATATGAAGGAATTAACATTTTGACATTTTATTTGAAAAAATAAGGATATTAACTTAATGGAAAAATTTAAGAAACATCTTTAGAGCCTAAATCTTTTTAGCTGGAAACATTTAATTAAAATTACCAATAAGGGATCATTTTATTTAAAAAATAATAGGAATGTTAAACAAAAATTTCAGAACTTGCTAATGGTAAAGTAATGAGAACAATTTACAAAGTTAATACATTGTATAAAAAACATTTGGATATTTTATTACAAATAATAATGATATATAACTTAATGCGAACGTTAATCAAACATTTTTAGGGATGTTTCCAAGTCATGCAATGAAAATTCTGAGAGATCCCTCCATCTGACCCCACCCCAAAACCCCACCCCCACTATGGCTTGAGCCAATCAAAACATGTTCAAAAACACTCCTCTGTTTTGGCCCCGCCCACCAATCTGCTTACTCCCATTACTTTTATACTGTAATTATTAGAATTATTCCCATTACTTTTATTTCATTTTGATCTTTATTTATTTTAATGAAAAATATTGATCTTTTAAGCAACTCAACGAATACGTTGATCTATAACGTTACTATTGACCAATCACAATCAAGCTTTTCAGACAGCTAGCTGTGTCGTAATGAAATTAAAAGACACGCCACCTTGCCAAAAATTTCCTAAATTGTTCTCTTCGGATGTACAACCCCATTTT